ACACGCGTTAGCTCGGTGGGCTCCGTGGGCTGGCGAGCGGCTCCGGAGGGGTTCGAAGGCACGCGAGGGCGTTGGTGAGGTTCATCCCCCTCGAGGGACACCACCGATGGGTCAGCAGAGTCCTCTCCTCCCCCGGGGGGGGGTTTTTTTTTTGCGGAGGCGCTCGGGGACAGATTGTCCTCGCCCTCTAAGCTAGGAGGTAGACGTCAACCAGACGGGATGGAGCGGGAGCCCCAAGGAGATGGGGTGAGCTCGGATTGTCCTTCATTATCTCGTGCTCTCTGCCTCTGACCCAAGGCTAGCTGAGGCGTTTGGAGAAGGGCACTGGGCGAGCTCCTTGCAGAAGGGATGTTTTGGAGGGAGCTGGAGGTGGTGAGGGTGGGACCTTCCGTGCTGAGGTTGGGAACAGACCTGCTTCGGGGAGAGAGAAGAGGTCTGCACAGGCTGGCAGGGTGGAAAGCGTCTCCCAGCACGGCAGCACGGACCCCTCCAGCTCTGCCGTGGAGCTCCACGGCCTCTGGGGAAGGGAGCAGGGCAAGATCTGCCACCCAAGAGGTTGAAAAACGCCAAGAGGTGGGTCGAGGCCGTCGTGGTGGGACACGGGGCAAGCGAAGGCCTCGGATGTCTGTGGACAAGCCACAGGTCCCAGCTCTCCACCTGCGGACCCTCGGGAGCCTACGGGCACGCCGGGCTCGGTGTCCCCCTGGCCAGGACCCCCCCAACCCCAGATGGGACGTCTCCTTTGGGTATCGCTGCGTGGTGGGAAGGGGAGTCCCCAGCTTTGGTGGTGTCCCCAGGGGGTAAGGCCACGCCAAGAGCCATGCAGGACACCCAAGTGTCCTGTGACATCCTCCAGGCACCGACGTCCAAGCACATCCCTCTCCCTCCCAGCTCCCTGGGCTCTCACCTTCTCCTGCAGGCGCTCCAGCATGGCTGCTAAATGGGCCTCTCGGTTCTCCTTGTTGGATTCCATCTTCTGTGCCAGCTTCTCCTTGGCCATTTTGATGAAGTTGTTGTTCTCCTCGATGGCCTTCTGGATGACCTCCCGCTCGTGCTCCCGCTTCTCCGCCAGGTGCTTCAGCAGCTCAGCCTCTTGGTACTGTGTGGGCAGAGTGGACACCATGACCATGGAGACCACGGGGACTGTGGGGCCCTTCCCCTCCTGGTCAGAACCACCCTCTTCATCCTCAGTGTGTAATGGTTTGAAACCTGCTGC